GCAATAGCTATTAAAGCATATTTTTGTGATCCAATTTCCAACAGTGCAACATCAATTGCAGCAAACAGGCCCGTTTAGACGACCATTATAAAAACATAAGTAACATAATGCATTATTTTCACTCTTCTGTAGATAATTATTTAGAAATTACTTTCAGATATCCTTCTATTATAAATACCTACGTACTCGTAGGTACGTAGACCAATGCTAATCTCTACATAGCATAAAAAAAACTATGCTTTCTCTGTCCCTATATCCCTATGTATGCTTAAATCTTTAAAGCTACGCAACGGATTTTGATGTAGTTTTTTTAATAGATATAGTGATTGAGGAGAAAGGTTTATATGTATAATAACATCCATTAAATAGTGGAGTGATGTCGTAAATAATTACATTTTTTCCGCTTACATTGCAAACGCAGGCTGAACCCTACGAGATTTATCAAAATAATGTATTAAGTATTGTACACATTGATAAGGTCTACAGAAAACTCAGCGATGGTATATGTCTATCTCTTATGAATATCCCACAATAACATGTTTTTGTCATTTACTTTTTACGACAAATAATGGCTAATTTTCGAAGCGATTTTAACCAAATCAGCATTAATCCTTATCCAATGAAATACCTTAAATACATTGTTGATTTAATATAGATCTATATGGCCCTTTACGGCATATGATTTGAAGATAGCAGGAAATCTTCATGGTATAGGGAAAGGGGAATTGTTTTACTCCAAATTTAACGCATGCGGCCACGGGCTGTTATGAATAAATCAAAACTACTGGATCGATTTTAATCATTTTTTCAGTGAGTGACATAGGCTATATTAGGTGAAGACTTTTAAAACTCTGTACTTTGCCTATGTTAGATCTAACGTAGAGTACGCCTCGCAAGTATGGAACCCACAATATGCCGTTTATAGTAATCGTATAGAACTCATTCAAAAGAAATTTATCAGACAAATCCAATATAAAGATAAGACTTTCCTGGCTGACTACTTAACTAGATGTAACCATTTCCACATTCTTCCTCTCTCAGTTAGGCGTGAGATTGCAGATGCTACATATTTAATAAATTTAGCTACAGGTAAAGTTGACTGTCCTGAGCTACTAAGTAAGTTGTGTCTCCGTGTGCATAATAGGACGCTAAAAAATATGCACCTATTACCGAAAGTTAACACCAATTACAGAGGGAACAGCTTTATGGTTAGGGCGGCGAGTAAGTTTAATAGTCTAACTTGTGATATTGAATTATTCGCCTCAAGTGTGGTGTCGGCAAGGAGAGCTATGATATCTGAGCTCCTCAGTGGAATGAATGATGAACCATAAGTTTTTATAAGTGTACATAAGTTATACTAAACTGTTTAGCGTTACTTAACCAATTTTTACTTAGTTTATCACTTTCTTTGATATATATTTATTTAGTTGAAAAAAAATCATTTTATTGTTACCAATACAGTTAATATTATTAGTACTTAATTATTTGTAAAGATTTATTTAATGGCGTAAAAGAATATTGTATTTAGTAAGTAAGTTAGTAATAAGCTGCAAATCTTTCTCAATAAATAAAATAAAAAAAATATTATATTATATATTTTATACCCGTGCGAAGCCGGAGCGGGCCGTTATGTTTTTATATACAACGTTCACAGTTTTTCTGTAGTGTATTTAGTATCAGCATTGCACCCGTGCGAAGCCGGGGCGGGTATATAAATATAATAATTACTAGCGAGTAATTATTATATTTATAACTATTTTATAATCCTTAAGTTTTGAACAACGAATCACAAATCACAACTCTCAATTCTAACGTTCAGACAACATTGACATAAGGGATGATTCAACTTTATATCAAAACAATATAAATATTTAAATATACCGTAATACGAACCCAAATAAAATAAAATAATTTCAATTTCATTGGTAAAGTTCTTCAACAAGATTTTTCCATACCAAGAAACCAATTTACGTGATAACGTTCGGGGAAAATTGCTTTCTTGCCTTTTCTTGCTTATATATTGAATTTATTGCTTGATTCAAGTGGAGTGATATTTGTATCACAACTATTACAGTACTAATACATTTATTCTTGCACTTGATTGTACTGAGTATTATTATTAGATAGGTTCAGATTAGGGCACGAAAGAAACCAGCTAAAACAATATATTTAAATTACAGATGTGAATTTGTGTTTTATTAAAGCTAAAGTGTTTTATTGTTGGCTTTGCACGCCTTTTTATAATAATTTTATAAAGTAATTAATATTTCGAAGATAAATAAAGCCTATGCCTCTGAGGGATATTGTTTCAATGAATTTTGAAAGATTTCATTAAAATCATGCAAAAATACAAATCTTTTCCATCTACATATTTAAAAGAATTTCTATTTCCCTTGGTCACGGCATCACGCGTGAACGGCTGGACCGATTTCGCTAATTCTTTTTTTGTTGTGTTTGTTATTGTCAGGAGAAGATATGGTATTATATAGGGGTTAGGAATACTAACCCACCATACAATTGAAACTATTTTGATGTATCATTATGGCGTTTGACATAACATTAATAGAATGCGTGCTGCAAATATCGTCAAAGAGGATGTAAGAAAAATGAATATCGTTTAAAACAAACGCTTCGATCGGAGTTATTATATTGATAAAATACATATAAAATAATATAATCAATAAATTTATTTAAAAAAGGTAAAATATGTAATATGTACTATACTTATAACTAGATCAGCACACTACATCAATAAACTTTTAGAAAGGGAGACAAGAAGAAACCGTATGAGCTAATATGTAGGTATATAATATCTTTATATTCTGCTGAACGTGTGTATGTCATTGAACTCCTCTTAACCGGCTGGACCGATTTGAATTATTTTTTTTGTATGCGTTTGTGTGACGCCCTGGATGGTTTCGATTCACAAATTAGCCCAGCAGATGGCGCTGCAGTTCTTCTTCTAGCTTCTTTAGTGCATATAGGATTCTAATGGTGAAAAAACTTGTTGAAAAAACAAATTGCTCCATTATTTTTGGTGCCAAAGTTGAAAATGAAATGAAATGAAATGAAAACAATCTTTCCTCTTATTATATTCATAAATTAATTAAAAGATGTTACTTCTTTTGCAAGAGTGAAATACGTTATGAAAATCGTCCAAAGCAACGTACACTGCTTACATCAAACGCTATAGAAATTTAATCTAATATATAAAATTCTCGTGTCGCGGTGTTTGTGGTTAAACTCCTCCGAAACGGCTCGACCGATTCTCATGAAATTTTGTGTGCATATTGGGTACCTATGTCTGAGAAGCGGACAACATCTATTTTTCATCCCCCTAAATGTTAAGGGTAGTCCACCCCTAAATATTTTTTTTTATTTTTAGATATTTTTTCCTGTTTTAAAAAAATACATACAACCCCTAACTTTCACCCTTCTACGATCAACCCCTATTTTTTTATTATAAATGATATACATGGCAATACGACGTTTGCCCGGTCAGCTAGTGTATATACGTATATAGATTTATGCTACTAAAGTATTTCGTCATGGCAACTAGTATAACATTGTGATCTAACAAGATTATTGAATACTGTGTTTATCGGTCGTTAAATCGTTCTTACTACAGCTATTCGCGCCTATTATCAGAGGAAAAATTGCACTTAAGTCTTGTAAATATTTATACCATCAAGATGCTTTGTAATTTTAATTAATAATAATTACGGCTAAGAAAGTAGAGTCAATTTCAATTTCAAAAATTCTTTATTTTGTTTCACAAAAATTTATAGTGCTACATATCCAGTGTACATTAAGAGTGCGGTAGTATAACAAATGGGCTAACAAACAGGTGGGCTAACAAATTCTTAGGCTAAGATAGAAAAAATATTTCTTTTTTTGATAGAATTTGATTTGATTATTCAATATAGCCTTCGAGAGCAATACAACCATTATAGCGGTCATACTATTTCTTAATACAATTTTATGGTACTTTAGTCTCAAAATAGGCTTCAGTTTCGGCGATTACCTCTTCATCAGCGCAGAATTTCTGGCCAGCAAGCATTCTCTTGAGGTCTAAGAACAGAAATATGTCGCTGAGTGCCATATCTGGAGAATACAGTGAAATAAATTCGGATTTATTACGATTCAATAGCTACAAACACTGCTCAGAATCATCAATTGGTTTTTAATTTTGGTAGATAGTGAGCTCGGGCGGCACCTTCTTTGAACAGCGCTTTCGCATATCCAAATATTCATCCATTGGGGCGTCCACTGCGTGCATCGTCCTCGGTGCTCCTTTTGCAAATTACTTCTCAACGGTTGATTTTCCTGGAGAAGAGTCCGAATAATGTTTATTAAGCCAGGCAAATGCCAAAAAACAATGTTGTATTAACACAAGAAATATTGTTATCCATTTTTTTAAACAAACAAAAGTTACTTTACTCACAAACTAACAATCCGTTAGTTGTCAAGCTTATACACGTGTCTTTTGAAGGTTAGGGCCAACTCAAAATCATATTAATTTAATACTACTAGCGCCATCTATGTGTCCCCTTTCAAGTTTAAATACATGCGCGTGGTGAGTGCAAACATCAGCAGGAAATACCGGCGTCTTCCTAGAACCGTATTGAAATATCATTAACAAAGCAAATGTTATTTGTTATATACCATTATAATGCGTTAAACAAAGTCACAATACGGGACTATTTTACAATGAATAATGTAAACATTTTGAAACTATTGTTATCGAGTTCATACTCCTAAGCTTAACACCGACACACTACACGAATAAAAATCTTTCAAGTAGTATTAAAGACCAAAGGCATGGCATGAATCAGATATTTCCAGATAAGTAGATAAAAAATGTTCGAAGCGATCGTATCAAAGCAACACTAATGAAAATATTTTTTCCTCAAAAGAACCAGGAAATAGAGCAAAAAATGTTTTATCTCGAAATGTATGTAGGTAACTAAAGACTTTTCTTATTCTGAACATAAGCTAACATGCTTCGCTACCTAAAGGTATTTCTTGCTGGTTTACATAAGCAGTGGATATGTTTTCAACGGCTTTGCGCTGAGAAAATTCTGCCAGTAAACTTAAAGGCATAAAGCAACGAAAAGTGAGGCTATTTAATTCTTTTAGAGATTTTTAACCTTTGTGTTCGCTTGTGCTTGAATAATCTTTAGAGTTAGACTTTTCATATATTTCCTTATAACTACTAGGCATCGTTGAAATGTTTAAAACCTATTTTTTACTTAACCCAAAACGATTCATGTGTTTGTATGACGGGGAATTCTTGGGGCTTGTTAAAAAATATTAATTGCTTGTTAGAAAAAGTTAGTGTTATTTTGGTTTGAATAAACTATATACCCAAAAACTAGGTCAATAAAATTTTAAAAAATGTTTATTATAGAACATAAGATACAGGTATCACTTTTTCCACGTCATTAAATTTGAATTTGTTGGCATCCCTACTCATAGGCAAAGAAGACAGAGGGTGTAGGCCGAGAGAAAATAATAATAATATAATAAATAAAGTATTTATTATACACAATAATACTTAATTGATATAGTATAATAAAGCGTTGCGGAATTGAAAAAGTAAAAATCAGGTTTAAGTTACATAAGTATAGAAGCAATGCAGTACATATGTATACATCTTTTACATATAAAACCAACATCACCTGTGTTTCAAATAAAACTTACCAAATAAAATAAAAAAGAAAACAAATACGACCAAATAATAGAGGAAAGCGACCTTTCATATGATGGGAAGCCCGTTAACTCGAGGTATGTAGACAGTATTATTGTGACTAGAATATTTATCCTGGTGTTTTAAGAGCAACGCTCCTGTATTGACAATATAGACGTCGCAGTACGTGATCTGTGTAGACAAGGCATCTATTCAAATAACTGAAATTTATCTTAAAATTAGTTACTACAGTTTCGCATCAAATATAGTTGCATTAATCTATTAGAAAACTCGAGTCGAAAAAATAGAGTTGACACAAAAGGTGACTATAGGAAAGGGTAAAAAGTACGTAATTAGGTACTTAGTAAACATAATTACAAATAATTAATAACAACTTATTGAAGTCAAACTTCTTTATCGGCGTTAAAATATGACATATAGTATGTTTTTGACTTTGAAGTTTGACAACGGATTACATTTTCGACTTGAAATTTGCTAATCGCAGTTTGCAGCAATTAATTTGTAAATTGTATGCTAGGCAGTGTATCAAAATTTACTGTGTTTAAAGAAATAGTTTCTAATAAGGTCATAAAGAAGTTTCACTTCTTACGTGTGTACACCTAGTACACGCACACATTTTTTAAAAGTAAACTATGGTGGATGTGTCTTTGGGTATTAGAAAAGCATTAGTAGAAGTATAACTGAAATATTTATTGATTATTCATTTTAATCTAATACGCCTAGTCATAAACCAGAATTTCTAAAGATAAAAAAGCCTTATCCACCTTATCACGTTATATTATATTTCAAAGAAAAAGTAAACCGTCACATTTAGCATTTCGTTATATTCGTGTTTATCGTTAGTTTGGACGCAAAATGATACCGTTTAGATACATGCCGTATCGGATACGCCCCGCCCCCCCCGCACTAAGCGCTGATAACCTCTATCGTACGCGTAGTGTTGAGATCGTATCACGATACTTATATAGATATATACCGCGAATCCTTTCGGTTTTTCGCGATATCAAAGGGAACACAAATCAATGGGTGACATGGAGTGAAATTTTTGTATTTTCCCTGGTATACTGAAATTTTACTCGCATAAATGGTATCCACCATGTTTGTTTCGGTTTCTAAACACTTCCCGCGCCGTCTACATCTCTATTGATTTATTTTAATACAATGATAATATAACGGCTAGTACCCACTAGTATGTTACCGTTGGGAAAATACTGAACATTGCGAGAAGGAAAGGGGCATGAAAGAATCAAAGGAAGAAAACTTAAAGTTAAAGCATACTGAATTATAAGTATGGACGCGTTTTTTACAAGATACGCCTTAAATATACGACATGGACAAAATGGGCGCCCATATTTATGAATACAGATACTAGATCACGACTGATGTGATGTCAATATACTGGACCCGGCTTAATCGTTTCCTCAAGTTTCATAGCGAAGTTTGAGATTTCAATTTCAACATTTACTTTATATTTTTAAAGGTGTTCCGGAAATCATTTTTCTACTTCACTGAAGCCAATAATCGCTGAAGTTAAATTGACGACAAATTGCTAGTTAGTTACATTTAACGTTGACAATGCATTTGTACATAATAATTGTATTTGTGATAACTAAGTGTGTATATGCAGCTGCCAACTGTAGGGTATATTTTTATTATTTACTTGTACTTACATAGTGAACATATTTTGAGTTTTAATTAATAGGAAGTATTTTTTCTTACAATTAATTAGGAAGAAAATCTCGCTTGATGTTTTAAATTGTAAGTTCCATATTATGGCTGTAAAATAAATGAGGAACGCATTCCATTGACATGCAAATGTAACTGATCAAAGAATTTCATAAATAAATTACACGCGATCAGCACTGATTACATTAAGTTTGAAACTGTTTCATTGTAAAATATACTTGCAAATTATCATAACAGTAGTGCATATTTTTTTATTGATTGGAGACAAATATTTAGTTTATATACTAACGGTCTTACTAATAAAGAATTATGCACATCGTATAAGCCTGTTATAAGAAAAATGTTACTAATAATTCCTGAATTGACACGTTTGATGTATACGGCTGTTATAACAAGTGTCTGGTTTGTATGAAGACTTGTACAATGCTTATACAACGCCGAGGCCTAGTTTAACGGGTGTATAGGACATAAATTGCGTTATTTGATCTGATTTCGCGTTTGACAGCATTTTTTGACTGTTTAGTTCAAGGAAAGATTTAAGTTAGTAGGTATTTGTGTTTGTTGAAAATAGATTTTATAGATCAAATGGAAGATTTAGATAATATTGATATGCAGCTAATACATACGATTGAAGATTTGCCGCCTCCAAGGAAAGTCAAAACATACCAAACTCGGTGCAATCCGTTATTACTTTCGGATGGCGATTTCAAAACAAAACACCGCTTTTCAAAGAAGTATGTTATGAAGATCTGTGACAGTGCGAGCTGATGTCGAAAAGAGTAATAGAGGTGGATGGTTTTCGATTTAGGTGTCTTCTTCATGGCTTCTCAGTGTCTTTAGAAAATGCCAAATTATATATAGTAGCACTGGCAATCCTCCACAATATTGCTATTGATATGAAAGAAGACCTGGATGTTACGTATGATGACACTGAGAATGCTCCAGAAGAACCAAGGCCAACCTAGACGCCCCCAAGCAATCAGGCTGGACAAGCTGCTAGAGCTGCTTTTATTGAAACATATTTTTAAAGCTGTTTTATTTACATAGGTGTGGATAGTTAGACGTGAAATAAATAAAAAGTTATATTTCATTTAAAACAGGGGCTTTATTTTTTTTATAAGTATATAATTATTCATTTAATTGCTGCTGTAATAGTTTGAGCCTTAGAAGATGCTCCTGTCTAGACCATTTGTGAGCTTCGGCAAGTTGCTTCTGTTTGAGCTCATGTGTTTCAGCCATTTGCCTTAGTTTGGTTTCATGCTCTTCCTGCAAACACTGGAACACTGCCGTGTTGCGGAGTTTGGCACTTTCCACTATTTGAGATGCCTAAAAAATTTAAGTATGATCGTTGAGGGCTTTTGAATGAAATAGTCCTTTTCTCTATCACATTGATACTAACCTCTCCTAACTTTTGTACTGCAGAACGTGGCTTTTTATGTAAAATTCTAGTCCTCTTTGTCTGAATATAATTGTTTTGGTTGCTAAAATAAATACAACTTACATTAGAATTATGACTTCTATCAGGGGGCCTACCATGAACTCTTATTGCGAGCCTATTGACAACCTACAACTGAGACGCATCGTCTAATTCGTACCATGACATCGAAAACAAAGAGACAGTTTAGGTTCCCACGTGACCTTAGCGGTTATCAGAATATTTCGTTCAATTATGAAAATCCGTACCATAGACCGCTCGGCTGATACTGAAATTTGACAGTTGCGCCTTCCAACTATGACAGAATGAAGCGATTCTAAAAAAGTTACTTTTTGTCCAACTTTTTTGTATCGAAATGTCCAAATAATAGTTAAGAACCTATAGATATATATAGTATACTGTATAGTATGTATCTACTATGTCTGTTTCGGATAATTTGAGGTATTTTGAGTTTAGAAAGTGTCATTATAAATTAATTATTAAAATATCGACGGAGATGAGAAACAAGACGGCAATGCCCTTCTACCTACTTCGTAGATATCGAGTTTATATTTTGCTATAGATTAACGACTTTGATTCGTTGAGGATTTTAGTGTACCTAAAAATAATTGCACAAGCTGTTCAATAATATTCAATTAATTATTTAGGCATGTCTAACACAAACATAATTCCCCAATATATCAGATTTTATAATAAATAAGCTTGCCATATCAATAGTAGATATTTATTATAATTAAATTTTTCCTCATTATGTTCATGATTTGATTGATTATCCTCTGCTTTTTGTTGTCTAAAAAAACATAGGTATTTTTATAACGTGTAAATAATAAGCCATTTGAAAATAATATAATAACAGTATTTATTTAGTAGATGACTCCATCAAGACAGAAAAAGGTGTCTTCAGGCAATGTTCAATTGGATATAACCATATATTCATATATTTCATTCTCTCAATTCAGCGAGTTTGTCAGGTTTAAGCTGTAAAGAAAATATAATTACATATTTATATTATATGAATTAGTTAACGTATAAACTAAATTTGTACAATTTGAAGGAAATAATTTTTATTATGATTTTCGAATATTAAGTTGATTTGTAATATCTTTTGCAAAGAGTTTTATCAGGAATTAACTTCGATATAGGTATTTATTTTTAATCAACAAATTTGTGAACAATACTTACCCCCTCATATTATTTAATAAGTGAAACAATTTGTAAAACTATAGTTATAAAACTGAAATTTTGTAAACACCAAAATATTGAAAGCTCCTATCAAAATTTGACGGAAACGTTTAAAAATAATAAGTGTCCACTGTCATAGCACCAGAAAACTGTTGAAAATATATCAAAAGAGTAGTTTTATATATTAAATAAATAAATATATTAAGACATAATAGCTTATTATGATTGATGAATTATTGAAAACAATTTTATATTTTATTTATTTTTATAGAAACATCTGTCAAAGAAAGTTTGACAGTTAAATTTCAAAACTTACATAGAAACCTCAAATAAAATTATCGTTCTTTCATTCGGTCTTGCGATGCAAATACGTTTCAGCTTATAGGCGGTCATGGTACGAAAAAATACTATTGACTTTAGGTACCTAAACTCAACTGCATCTCAACTGGATTGTTTTAAGAAAGTTCGTGGGCCCCCAGAATTATTAAGTCAAACGTCAATCAAACACGGCGGGTTGCCAGGGTAACAATAAATAAGGGTCGTTTAGTTATTCAACCAATACACATCGATTATTGGTCAAAGAGGTGTTTATGCCCTGTACAGTGTACAAGCTCTATTCACTGAATAACTATCACCTTGTTATAACTCATGCATAGTGATTTTTTATTAGTAAGACCGTAAGTGTATTTTGTCAAATGTCTTTTTGCGTCGTAGCGAAGTGTTCACGACTGGACTCGTTACTGTCTAATAACCGTCAAAAAGTCCAAAAATATTATCCGTCAAAAGTACAAGGATAATTTTGGTAATGCCCCCATGAATAGTGCACATTCTGTGTAAATTGCTTGTTCTGTGTTTAAATGCAGAATGTTTCGAGTTTTCACATCCAAAGGTTGGATGTGCATTTATTAGGGTTTGAGTAGAACCGTTTTAATAACTCACACGTTTCGAACAGTAAGAAATTATAAGCACAAAGAGAAGCTATAATTTATAGACAAAGTAATAAGACCGTACGAAGCTGATTTGTTATAATTAAAATATTATATACTTTGAAGTTTGTTGGTTTAAATCAGAGTTCCCCAAACTTTTTTGTCTCGTAGACCCCTTGCCATGTTTTTCAGTGTTGGGTAGACCCCCTACTTACCTGATATTGATTCCTGTAAATTTCTAACTGTAGTGAAGTTTAGTGTTAAAAACTTAAAGTAAAAACACATGTTAATTTATACATTTACTAGCCGTTTCGCGCCCGCTTTGCTGGACGAATTAAAATAAATTTTATGTTTCATTATTTTATTTTTTTTCATATTTTTATTATTCTTCTTTTTAACTTCCCGCTAAGAAAATTGAAATATTTCGAAAATCGAGTTTTTAACAGATGTTGACGTTTAGAGGTTCTAGGAAGCCTCCCCGAATGTTTCCGCGGTGAAGTCCGTATGGATAAATTTTCATAAAAGTAAAACAGTAATAAAAAAATGAAGGAACGTTGGAATTTAATAAATAAATAGCCATAAACCATCTAGGAAAAATCGCATCGAATGGTGGTAGTTTCATGTCGATACGATCAGTGGTTTAGGCGGAGCCTCAAACGAAGACCATTTTCCTTTTATATATATAGATTAATTAAATTTAAATTAAAACTACTCAAAATAAAATTTTGTATCTGTTATGTAAAATATACGGAGCATTAAATAAACTATAAATAAAATAACATAAGCAATAAGTCGATAAAATGTAATATGTTTTGATAATATAAGATAGTATGATGTAAGGAAATAGGTACTATCAGTGTATGTGTTGAGAACCACTATCGTGGACCCCCATTTTCATTTCATGGACCCCCAAAATTTTTTTCGATGACGTAGACCCCTTGTAGGTTGTCATAGACCCCTAGGGGTCGATATAGGTTTTTGGGAAATTTGGGAATCACTGGTTTAAATCAATCGGTTTTATCAAAAATGTATTGAATAAATGAGAAATTTATTGAACTCTGATCACAGTTTTGGATAAAGATTTTATCTCAATAAAAATACAAATTATATTATTTAATATTGTACAGGATCGAAGTAACCATTTACGATATGACGGTGGGCTGTGCTTCGAGATACCACAATGGCAACACCAACCTGTTGAGGTGGAGGAACATCTAAATAAGCTGAAAGATGTTTTAAGAAAAAGAACTGAGGGAAGTCAGTTCAGAAAATCAAGTTTAGTATTAGTTAACAAGTACGTCATGCATTTTCACACAAACGCGAAATATATAGTATGCAACAGTTTATCTGTTGCAAATACCATTTTCTGTATTAAACGTGGCGTAGTTGTGAATTATTTAAAGTTCATTTCATTTACTTAGAAAAAAAAAACAGTTTTATAAGCAAAGCAGTCGGTTTTCTAGAAGTGTTTACGTAGCTTTCCATTGCGTTATTAAAGTAATTGACTCTCAAATTTTAGACTGAAATTTCAGAGAATTTTGAATCATAACTTTATTTTATTCACAGTTAGTATGAAGTTTCTTTTAAGTAAAATAAAATATTGATATAGGATTACGATTACTATCATATATTACTAGCAAGCCCAAAATGCGTTATCTAAATAATAAAAATAAAATAAACCATCTAATTGTAAATCTAAACCATTCTCTAATCCATTTGAACACAAAAAACGTGTGGCACTCGGGGACTGCCACGGAAAGCTATTGCATAATTTTTTTTTCAACTTATGCAATAATAATTATTTATTTATGCAGTATTTTTTTTTCTTTGATAAATTAATTCAATCTACCACTCTACCAGACTCAGACTAACTCGCTTATATAGTCTGTCTCACTCTAACGCGCACTGGCTGCACCGATCTCGTCAGATAGATGTGAATACGCAGTATGCGTTCTGTGCCGCTCTAACGCGTAAGGTTTTTTTTCGTTACGGAATTTCTGGATTCTGTCTCCACGCTCGAGGCCCGCGATAGAAGCTATGCAATAGTTTAAAAATTTCATCAACATTGGTCCGTTTATAATAAGTTTAATTACAAACACATGCTCAGAAGATCTATATATAATATACATATGTATGATAATCAAATATTTTTAACCTTGATATTTCAGTGAAATAAACCGTTACATGTCTACGGTGATTGCGCCATTTCTCGACACTTACCATCGGAGTATCCAAAATTCTTACCAACAATCGACACGTTATATACTGAAACAAATAAAAGACGAAATTATGGCCGCCATAAGAGAGAAACAAAAGATTTATAAAAAACTGATTGATCTAGCGGACACATTGAAAGTTCCAGGTCTTACGATATTTATCTTATTAATCAAATCAGATATTTATGTTAAAAATTAAACGGGAGTAAATGGTGATGATGATCTCAAATATACAACACTCCCACACAAATCATTATCTAAAACGTCTTCTCATCTACTGACATAATTAAATAAAAAATCGTTTTTTAACACTTTATTACCGTAAATTAATTAAATTTGCTTGTTGCAATTATACATTTGATTACAATCCCTCAATACATATGTTGCAGACTACTTACGTTGTGAGAAAAATGAACAAACTTGTTTTTCAAATTGTAGAAAATAGAGATCAAATATTTTGTGTTATTTTGTTTCTCGGTGCACGACTAACTGCATAGACTATTTTAAACGATACTGAAGCGAAATACAAAAATCTAATGGGCGTTCGTGTGTGGAACATTTGATTTCATGTTCGTGTTTTGTTTACTTTGGGTATCATTGATATTCAGTTGATAGTCAATAAATGTTGAAAATACATGGTACAAAATATTTTTCTTTACTTTATAGTTTATGTTTTACATTCCTCTGCATTTGTGTATTCATTTATAGCTCACAAAACCACACATAACAAATAAAAGGAATAAAAGAATTTAAAAATTTTACAACCAATGTGTGGCCTCGATAATAGTGCGGACGATGTGCACAAACATAATGCTTCAAGTTAATAAGTTAACAAATACTGTATGTATCTTAATCGACAGAGATGTGTGATGAAGAACGCCGTGCCGCACGTACCCTGGCCAGTAAGCATGTGGCCCGCACCTTCGAATGCACAGAGGAAGCCAGGGAATCTATCACCGAAATGGGAGAATATGCTGAAGAAATGATCAATATCACTAAAACCCACATGCAAGTAGCAGTCGCTGACGCTACCCAACATTTGGATGAGACTATTCCAAAGTAAGCTACAATCAGCACACACAACACTACAATAAGCTAAAAACAATAATTGTAATTACAAATATATCTATTAGAAAAAATGCAATTAAACCAACACGATATTTTTGTGTTTCTCTATAACGTCTTATTGTAAACGTAACGTCTTATAGTAACCGAAAAAGTGAGTTTTTTTAAATCGAAATGGTATTCATTTATGTTTAGGAAACAACACATTACAAAGACTAATTGTAATCTATTTCATAAGCTTATTTCTAAAACAATACTAAAAATATTAAACTCGTCTGTATTTCAAATTGTCTAGAACTAATGTCCTAATTTGTATGTACAGAGCAAATGTTACGATGTGCCTACGTGAAATATCACGGGCGGCTGCTTCTCTTGGCTACGAGTTGGATCTCAGTAAGACAAACGCACTTAAACACAAAGTACAGACCTGCGAGAAACTAGCCAACTGCTGCGAAAAAGTGCGCATCAACACCGCCAAAGAAGTTAAAGCTTTAACCGAATATCTATATCAATGTGTTTATGCTTAAACCTAGACGACTATACCATAGTTTTCATTTTTCTACGAAATTTTTAACTAACGTGACATCTCATAGTTTATAACTCACACGAGTTGAGGTAAAATGTACCTCTGTGCTGAGAATTTTCATACACACATTGTTTACGCTAATTGCCTAAGTGCCTTAAAAATATATGTAGAAAGCGTATAGGAATTTTGGGTTAATCTTGTGTATGGAAAATATTTGAGACTGTATAGGGCAAATGTAAGAAGCCATTACTGATTTGGGGAGAAAGAAAAGCAATGTGGCATATAATACAAGTTTTCTCGCGATTTCTACATGATAATGTATGGAATTTACCCGTTCTACCCGCTCATGTATCCGACATTGTTCGTTTTGGGTATGTTTGGATACAGCTTGCTAGGGCTGAGGATCCCTCCGTAGCTATTACTCGGTAGCTACGTAATGTGTTAAAGAGGTTGGGTCTCCGAGTACCGAATAACCACTATTGCTAGCAGTAACTTGCTCAGAGATTCACCACTTGCGCGCACTTAAAACACTGACTGAACTCACAAAAGTGTCCGTCCATTGTCCGTTATTTGTTATGGGAAGTTTTAGTTTGTTATTATTTTCTATGGAATTAGCGTTAAGATGTAATGGTAGAAAATAAATTTAATAATTTTTTTATATAAAACATTTTTAGTGACCACTTTGCGTATAGATTTCTTGCCTTCATAGTTACCAGCAATTACAACAGACAATTATCATCAAATAGTAGTCTGTCACCACAGCCAATGACTAAATTAATAATATGTAATTCTAATTAAACCTTTAATCCCGTGTTTTTTCATTGCTACAAAGCCGAAGTTAGATTTTCTTTGGGTTGAGTTAAATTTACTCATAAATAAAGTAAACAGCAACTGCGGTACCTAGTGATAGATGTTGTATTATATCGGTCATCACTTATACGTACCCTTGTTACTGTCCCTTCTAATTATGGCCCATCCAGATTTGCGTTTATTCCAACTCGCCAGAGCGAAATCGAATTATTCAAATATTTAGACAACGAGAGACCGTTAATGAATTTAAATTAGTTTCTCAGTTCGCACAGTTATGGTATTTAATCAATGGCTTTAATTTGCTTCGAGGGTGGCTTTGTACGAGTTGACGACTCCTACAAACGCATATTTGCTCATTTAATTATAAAAAGGGTATTAATTGAGTTGAATTGAGTCGAGCCGTGTTGGCCTAGTGGCTTCAACGTGCGACTCTTATCCCTGAGGTCGTAGGTTTGAACCCCGGCTGTGCGACAATGGATTTTCTCTCTATGTGCGCATTTAACATTCGCTCGAACGGTGAAGGAAAACATCGTTAGGAAACCGACATGCCTTAGACCCAAAAAGTCGACGGTGTCTCTCAGGCACTGGAGGTTGATACTTGCCTATTCGATTGAGAAACGATCATGAAACAGATTTAGAAATCTGAGGCCTAGACCTAAAGAGGATGTAGCGCCACTGATTTTTTATTTTAATTAATTGAGTTGACGCGTCATTTTGTAGTAGCGTAACTTAATGAGACCTAACGTAATGAAATTATTTGTCAGCACTATGCAGCTGACCAGCTGTCATTAATAAAAGTTCCATGTTGTTATTGAATTAATAAGGAGCGGTGTTGAGCTGAGCGTCCGATTCTCATGCCTGAGTTTGTAGGCTCGAACACCAGCTGTTCCTTTAGTCTAGGTACTCATTTATCATGCCTTCCAACGGTAAACAAAAACATCTATAGGAAACCGGCATGCCTTAAGACAAAACATCGACCGCGTGTGTCAGGCTCAGAACTGGCTACCTATTAGAAAAAAAATGATAGACATACATACATCGAGGCTAAGACTAAGTAAGCGTTGTATTATTTTTTTCTGTTATCATTTTATGCAAAATTTATATAAATAGTCGCTTACAAATTATTACAGATAATCGATCGATATGCATCTCGAAATGTTTTAAAAACAAAAAGTACAAAAAATAAATAATCAATATTTAAATACGATAATATGTTGAGATATTTTGGTGGTGGATTCATAATATAGTAATGTATTTACAGTAACTAAAATATAAATATTTGATCCATTTTGTAGTTAATTTTTGATTTTAGTAAAAGCCTGAGTCCATAACTGTACTAAATCCATTTTCAAGTAGAGTAGGCATAGAACAAAATTCTGTGCAGCTCTAGTCAACAATTCAACCAGGTTTTCAAAAACAAGACTTCATTGAAGCGTGAGTACAATATGACTGCCGTGTCGTAAAGCGCTTTCAGCGACCAACAGTATTATATATCGCGTGTAGCCAGGCGCTGACGAAGCGCCGACTATGCTCGTTTGTTCTGTTTAATCGTTCGTGAGCTTTGGAGACGAATGAATCTTGCTTTAGAAACTGTTTCGGATATGCTAGTAATAATGATCTATGAAAACTACAAGCTCAAAACATTTCCGATCAATATATTCGAATATATCGTTGGTTTGCATATTTCGCATATCCTTGGAATGGCTGTATCATTTAGTAGTCTTTAAACGGTAGTTGAAGATAAATAAAGCTTGTCTTTTCTTAATTGTGAAGTAACTAATCTTTGCAATGTTTACTGTGATATAACGCCTAATACAAGGCAACAACTTCTGAAGAACATAAAAGTTAATTTAAACTAAAATTTGAATATTTTAAGTCAGAAAATACTCAAATAATCTTGGAACTGGAAATATTTATTATGTGTAAACCACTAAGCTATGAAGGCGGTTCACATTTGGTGTGCAGTTAAAATAGTAAACAATCTGTTAATAGCGTTTTTAACAAACAGCGCATGTCAATTGTAATTATATAAAAAACAAACCACAAGAAAAGTTCCATCATTACAAAGTCAACGGAAAAGTAATTGACATAGTTAAACTCACTTCTCCAAATCAAGAAGCCGAGTCATTAGTTCACCGTCTACCGACTACTCTGTATTCAGAGGCGGGTCTTCGGTAAAAAACTTGTCGCCAAGCTTCGATATAATTAGACGAAGCCACCTTTTCAATTGGGATTCAATAGGGTGACAATACTCGACGGTTTTCAAGATTTTTCAGTAACTGTTGTTACAAGTGAGTTACTGAAAAATTATATTATAATAACCTTCCATTTGCAATTTTAATTATCTATTTTTTTTTCTAACAATTTAAACCACCAAGTAGACATATTTCAAGGAGATTATTTTTTTATAGATGAAAAGTGCGTCAATTATACGAGTAAAGCACTTTAAATGAAATGCCTCTAAGGATGAATTTTAGTACTACATTACAGAATTTTATTATTAGGCTAAAATTAGTCTCTATTTTTTTTAATATAAAGGACCCCTACTTAGTGGCCTGTATATACGTGCCTATAAGGCACGCGATCAGGTAGATCTGTGGTCGAGAAGCTAGGCAGCAGGAGAGTGCCAAATCTCTCCTTTCCTAAAAAGGAACTTTATGTGCTCAAGCTCATGTGGGCTCGGCTTATGGGTGAGTTGGAGCCCGCTGGCCGGCGAAACCCGCGTTACCTCTATTGCTTTTCATCTTCCTGACAGATTCGAATATTCTATGGTAGAATTTTTCCAATTGCGGTCTGTGCTTGAGCAATTTGTCAAATAGCTCCAGATCACACCTGGTTCTTTCAAAAGTCAGACAGTCAATAAGTAGATGAACAAGCGGGAAATTGAAATTGCACGCGGTACTTGTCATCAGTTTGATTCTGTGTAAATAGTGTCCAAAAGCCAGCCAGGATATGCGCCATGTGAGATGCGAAGCGCCTTGGTTTGACTTGTTTGTATGCCACGTATCTTTGAAAAACATTTTTGTTTTTCGCCCCTCATTGTAGGATAGAGATGTCAACAACCACGAAACAATAGCTATTCGAAGTTGAACGCATAAAGCACGAGATAGGTTGCGATGGCGAAAGATACTTGCGGAGGCTAAGCCCCAAAAGGAGGCCGTACAGCCATAGGTGATGATAAAACCGTGATAAAGATCGAATTTTCATGTTGTACTTGAATGAGTGAAAAGTATTTTTTTAATTAGTTTAGGTCTGATCTATTCATTATTAATAATGTTCAGATAAAATTTAGCATAAAAACAAAGTTTTGTATTAAATTGGGCTAAAATCCAGTGGATTAAAAAGTTATCACATTTAATACGCTGCTGGCCTACAGCGGATTCAGGTTATTGGTGGTATTAAAATAAGAAATTTTACTAAATGAGGAAAATATAAACAAAATAATACTGAGTGGTGATGTGAAAATATTAGCAACCGCGAGCCAGTTTATTAAAAAAGTTTTTACGTTCTCGATAGTAAATATTTTGTTTACGGAGCTGCTTTTACCAAGGTTTTGTTAGTAAGATATATAATATATGTTAAATTGTAATATTAGTATATCGTATAAATATTAAAAGATATTAAAGTACATTCATCCTACTTATACCTAAGTACGTCCTAAGTAATAAGCATTGGAGCTTATAATTGTTTTATTATTGCCGCGTAAAGCTACTTAACTCTAGTTTAAATAAATAAATAACTCTTATACAACGTCGAGTTCGCTTCTGAGCACAAATAAATGACTTTAAAGAAAATGATATATGGCACATGATGTGCATTTGATTTTCCTTTCCTTTTTCCTGCCAGGAAAAATTTACGAATAATTGAAGGTGAGGAAAGTGTGCGAATGGTTTTCAAATATGTTTCCACATTATAAATTTGAATTCATTTTTTATTTTGGATTTTGCCGCCACCTAGCTGTCAAGTGTCTTGTTCTGTGTTCCCCCGCCTAAATTAAACATAGCCATTGTCATGTAATGATAAGTGACATGGCTTTTTCCAGTATGTATAATTTAATTCGAAAAACATTTTACGGTATAACAATACTTTATAAACTGTATTTAAAAAAATATTCTAATGTTTATATCCTCCATCTCTATATAAAATATTGCTATGGTGGTGAATCAAATCAGCACCATGACCACCATACTT